AATTATAAAAGTCACTACGACGGCAAACCTTTAATAACTTCACTCCCTAAAAATACACACGTCTCGGGATTACAGATATTCCCTGCGCAATTTAGAAAATGATTAATTTAATAATCTAATTTTTAACGTTTAATCATTTTTCATCCCGGGATAAAGTGGGAAGTAATGTAAGCGGTTTTGGAATTAAAATTGAATCGAAACTTGAGAATCGAGGAATGGGATGAAATCGATGTTAAAACCACAACGGGTGGAACGGATTTGCAAGCTTTCTCTCCGATTTTTACAACAGCGGTAAATCACGTGGCGTGTGTCGTTAAAATAAATCGCTCCTAAATAATCGAGGCACTCTTTCCACGTAACGTACACGTATTAATAAATCTTCCGGACCAGCTGCAATGTTCGTTCCTTGGGAAACAATCCGTGAAACCGGAAGTTTAAGGATACAAGGGTCTACCGGAGGTCGCCGTGATGATTTAAAAAATAAATCGGCGAAAAAACCGCGAACGCCTTCGGGATGGCTTTGAAGAAATATCGACGCTCCCTCGGGAGCCAGGAAAATTCTCCCCTTTGTTAACGATACCTTGAACAAAAACTAAACGTCCCTTCCGACGTATCCACCCCTGCTTAATTTTTTCCGAATTTAATTACAACCCCCATTAAATCCAACCCTCTTAATTATTTTCCGCACAATTCGTACACCATATATTAGCATTAAATTAAAAATACCAGAGACTGTCAAAATGATCAATACCTTCCCTGCGATTGTATGTTTAAATCCACCCCTGTCGAGATTTGCCGTAGACGTGGCTTAAAAAATGCTAAAATTCGGGAACAATTGACTTAGCGAAGGAGTGGTTATCACGTACAGATTGCAGGGATTAAATCCGAGAAAATCTGGGGAGCGATTTGATACGCGATAATGAAGACTCGTCTTCAAGACAAGGTCTTTAGGAAGACAGGGGTGGATCAATGACCCCGGGGGGTGCAGGAAATATTTCCCTCCCTCTTTGGGTTCCCACCGGCGGAAACAACGTCGCTTTCGGCTTGTCTAAAATTATCACAGCTTTGGGCGTACGGGGTGAATTATTTCCCGAGTACGAGACGTCGCGAGGAGGATTCTCGAGGCTCTAATAACTCGATCGGTGAATTATTTCCCAAGGATTCAATCCCGCCTAACGCCCGGGAATAATCCATTGGCCCGCGAAAAGTGGGAAGGGAGGCGTCCGATAAGGCGTCGATAAATCGATAACATCGAATCGAATCAGCCGCGACAACGAATTCCCGGGGTGTCCTGCGTAAAAAGACCTCGACTCCGCAGTTATCGAATACACCGGGAAACTGGAAAACCGTTTATTGTCGACTTTTCCGCGACACGTCGATTTTTCGGAGCGGGCAAAAACACTGGAAATAAAAAATTGGTAAAGTCGCTCCCGAGCGAAATTTCGGGACTGTGATCGAAAGAATCGCCTTAAAAGGAAATCCCACTTGCGGATGTCTAATTAAATTACCCGGGTTAAGAATTATAACGTCAATTTGATAAGCAGGGATTCCAGGCGATTTTTAGTCCATGGCGGAACGTGATAAAAAATCAGGACTGTATATTCAAGTTGTTGTTAAATCCTTCGTTCTTTAATTTATAATCTTTAGGGAAATCCCCCTCGCGATTTGATTAACATTTTTCTACAAGACTTCGGGGATCCGATGTACACGTGCGAGGGTCTAAACGAGACGTTTCCTGAAATCCTGTAGAGCTAGGACTGATAACACCGAGGCCCTAATCACCGGTAATCACCATGCAGTGGGAGCATCCCCGGTGGCTCTTATCAATGTTTCGCCGAGTCTGATTTCTCGGACTCGTGCCGGAAGACAAAGTTCGGTGTCGACGTATCGATAAGTCGATAATCACAGGCTGCACGTGTAGAACACCCAACTGCGCGGCCGCGGAGAACCGGAAGAAAAGGATTCGATTTCCGCTCCTAGGGAAATCCTCTTACACTCGAAGATGTCCTAAGACAATCCTCGGAAAAGTTCGCGGGGGGCCTCGACTTGAAATTCTGCCGGAAAGTTGGAAAAGTTCGCCATGTGCCGCCCATGTCGCTGAAAATTCAAGCCAAAAAAGGTAAATCTCGAGAACAACCCTTTCGATTTTTTTTTTTACAAATCTCTCGTCCCCCGAGGAGTCAATTGATCTCGATTATTTTGTACAAATATTGTGTCTACCAAACGGAGACTTTACTCGATTTTTTGCGACCGCTCGCAGCGAAAGCAGGAATTATTTGCGGACAAGTGTAAATCCCGCTCCTCGAGGTATCGCTCGACCCCGCAATGTGAATTTTTATTTTCGAGTCCTTAAAAAAGAAGAGAAATCACCTTCGAGCCGACTCGTCTCCCTATTCGTGCGTCAGACCAATAAGGTCTGCACTGTTTGCTCCGGCGATGATGGACTGGGGAAATCTTTAAACATTTACTCCAGACGGAAAAAAGGTTTATTATTCCTAGGGTGGAAATAGTTGCCCTCGACACGTTGCGCAACCATTTTCTCTTTGATCGCCTTTGACTTCCGTAAAGGTTCCCTTTAAAAACCGTACCGTCCTGTAAAAGATTGCAAAATTCGGAATCCACAAGACTGACCCAACTCATTTTCCGCGAATGAAAATTTCCTTTAAACCCTTTCACCAAATTCTTCCTGAACTTTTGCGGCATCACTTGGCGGGCTAATTTCTTCTCAGGAATTGAATTCATTTAACCAATTATTTCCGTTCCACGACATTGTTAGCCATCCGGAGTGCATTTAAAAAAATCCCCTAGCCAAGTTTCGGCAGAGGAAGAGAATCCTTTTCCGCGGTTTGTTACCGGAACTCGCGGAAATGAAGGGAGAAGGAAGGCGCCATTCCGGCTCGGTGAGCTATCTCTTTTTTCCTCACCTTCCAGGAGAGTTAAATTTCTCCGGGAGGAACTCTACCACGGGATGAAAATTACGTTTCGGGGCTTCCCGGCCCGCTTCGACCTCGTGATGGAAAGCTTCACCCGAGTCCGATGTGTGTGCAAGGATGCACTCTCGGTGCATCCATTATGCACACATCGAAAGTCCCCAGAAATAGAGCCGGGACTTTTTGTTGCTGTTTACAAGCGCCGCTTAATCCCAATGCCCCGACAAAACCCTGCAACTCGAGTTTCGGAAATCTATCGTCCTTTCAACGAGCTGATAAACCAATTATACGGAAGGAAAAAAAAACTGGAATTATTTTTTTTTAATTTTAATTATTAATTTTTTACGATTTAATAGAATTCAATTGACCTTATCAGGGTGTAGACTCGCTTTCGAAACTCTCGCTCCTTGTCCGATAAGGGTGACTAAAGTCGCATTCTCTTATCAGAGGATTTGGTCGGCAAAGTCCATCATACCGATGGTCACGTCCGACTTAGACGACATCACGCAAGGGGTAACAAGTCGTCGTTTAGGCTCACCCTAGGGCATTGGCCAGGGCAGACCTACCAAAAATACATGGCAGAAGGGAACAAAGAGTCTTACAACCTCCGGGCTCTTTTTCCCGTCATTTCCGCGAGGAAATCCCCTCGATGGGCCATTATTGCCCCGCGGCCGATAGGCGTTACACGTGTGCAATAATGCCCGCGGGCGGGGTCACGTATGAAACTCTCCAACTTCGGTAAACTACTTTCTTTTTACGCCAAAACTTGGATAAGTGATCGTAGCCTCTCGAGACGTACAAGAAGCGAAGGAAAGAGTTGACGTGGGACACGAGTCGAACGAGAAATGCATCGCTGCACCGAAATCGATGTGCACTCTCGAATAGTAGCGGATGATTTCGATGCTCGACTAAAAAAGCATATATTAGTTAGAAAATGCCCTGATAATACGAATAATCATTTTCCTGAGTTTTTAAGAGTAGGCCTCCCTCGATAGCCTCGCAGCCCTATTTCGATGTACTGTTAAAAAATTATTAATATTAATATATGGCGGTATTATAATTATTTTTGTATGAGTATAGACTTCCCTCCATACCTTCGAACCCTATTTCAATGCCATCGGAACCCTTGTCGATCGAGCAATAGAAAAGGGACGATATCGGAAGAGGGTGGCGCAAGAAGTACAGCAAAGGTTGACAAATTGAACGTCAAGTGCACTTGCGGGTATCGAAGGCGGAGTTATTATAATGGCCGCTATCGGCATGCGCAGCTGTTTATACGCGTCCTGAAAATTAGCTGAAATCGAGGCGGACCGGTCTACGGGATAGCGAGAAAAATCATCAATTTTAATAACCCATTGGAGGAAATGATAAGTTCTTAAGAGACGCCGCGTTGTTCGGAATATATACGGCGGAGGAGGGAATTTATCGGAAATGCGCTTCCGATGTGCAGTATGTAGGTAGGGAAAGCATATCGGGAATTTCCCTCGTCCACCGGACACTTACGAGTCGCGTTCGATAAGATATCGTCACGCGAGAGGATCGGTATCTCACGGGAATTTCGAGATCCGAGAGGCGAGACTTTTTTTGGAAAAATGAAGACCCCTCGACCTGCCCCTGAGAGGGAAGATACCCGCGGGAAGACGTACGGCCTTATCTCGCGCACTGACGCGGAATTGAGGCGTGACAATTTTTTTGATAAGGACCGGCGAGTGCAGGGAATTTTCAGAAATCAGCCAGTATCCTTAAATCCCCTGAAATTAATATCCCTGATGTCATTCATAATTTCCTCGTATAAAGAAAAGTAAATCTGGGAGGTCCGAAGAATTAGCGGTAATTTGCAAAAAGAAAAAAAAAAAAGAATCCAATTATTCCGCAAAACAAGGTTTCAATTTTACGAGGACATTGAGATCCCGGCAATTTGCCCTGCCCGTGGGATTTATATCCGCATTACTTAAGTGCCGGGAATAATTCATCCGCCCGTCGTCGGGAAAACACATTCGGGATTTAAGGCGTACTTAAGGCTCAAACGTTGCCTAAGGAACCTACATTAAACCAGATTTCGACTCGCAGATGCTAGAGTACTGGATGGCGAACAATGCCACAGGGACGAACGGCAGCGAGCTGGAGATCGAGGAGGTCCTGGAGGATCCTGGATCGGCGATCCTCTTCGGAGGATACCCACCCTGGCTGCTCTACTTCGCCGCGGGATGCTGCCTCCTATTTATGCTGATCGGCATCCCTGGCAATCTGATAACCGTGGCTGCCCTCTTTCGCACGAAGAAGGTAGGTTTGCCCGAGCAGCCCGTCTTAAGGGCCTCCACAAAGTCGATGTGCTTCCCGAAGAATGCATTATGCATGTGCATATTGCATGCACATTCCTAATCTCACCGCGCGCTGATAACGCTCCGTCTATAAAATACCCAAATGATATAACCATTACTTTGGATATAACTATGATATTTCAGAGGACTTCACGAGTGGTTATCATGAGTCTTCGATTTTTCTTTCAAGAGCTTAATCCATGCACCAGGCACATTTATATGCGTTTTCATGATAAGTGCATCGGTGATCAGAAATTCAAAGGGGATTCGGAATTTCGGGTATCTCCTCTGTAGCGTCGATTTGCAAATTCGGGATTACCTGGGGGAAGATCGTATCGGAGGTGCACCGTGATTTAATTACTTTATTCGAATTCCGTAAATTCTCTCGATATGTCTACCTGATATCATGAATGGGGACGAAACGTAAATTCGAGGGAATGGATGCGTACACCATTCATCGTATCGTGCTTCACGTGAATAATGCATCATAGGGTCATAGTGCAGCTACGATGTCCGAAATTGCGTGGCTTTAGACTGGGATCGCCGATTATTAATTATACGGTGGGGTAATCGATGCTCCTCAGTTTATAATAGCTCTGATAAGTGTTAAAGAAAATTTATTGGAACGCTTTTGTAAACCATGGAGGGAAGTGCCCTCGGGTGGAGCATCGAAAGACGTTCGACTTTTACGAGCACGTGGTCGATAACACTGATTACGGGAAAGCGTGAGAGCATGAGTCAAGTCTTCGGAAAACACTAAGTGCACCGGGACGAATTACCGAAGAAATGTCGAGGTAATTAACGATAATTGCCCCGACCGTTTTGGAAATCCTGTCATTAGGCTTATCACTTTTATCGACGTCTCTTCGGGGATGACTTCAAGAGAATTCCATTATCCTTGCGTGCTTCCGAATTTTCCTTTTATTTTTTTTTCTAGGGAATAACAAATATTTTACGGAATTGACTTGACTAAAAAATTGATAGCCAGGGGGAGGATTAAATTCTTACCGGGGGAAAATTCGTTGAGGGGTTTTTACTCGGAGGTGACGGGGAGAGAAAATGCGGAAAAAGAGAAGGGACCCAATTAACTCGGCGGAACACACAGGTGGGTGCAGTGTTCCCTGGATTTTACGCCCCCTAATAACGCGGTTTAAATGCATTGCACGGGAAACGCAAAAACTTGGGTATCCAGTACTCCCGCGACGAAAAGAGACCGCGGCGGGAGTTTTGAAAGCGCTTGGCGCTCATAAATGAGCCTCATGCGCTCGCGACGCAGACCTCTCGTTTACGACCTACCGCAATTTCGCGGTTTTATGAATGTACCGGCGCAAATGCGGATTTTCACCTCCAAGACCCGACACCATGCCTCGGATAAGGCTTCGACTGAAATTTCCTCGATATCGCATAAAACATACACAAGCACTTTCCGCCTGTTCAAGTTAATCCTGGCGAACGTCGAATTGGCAAAATTTCGCAAAGACCGGGAAAATGAGAATCTCCCTTTTTCCTCGGTAACGCCACCCTATCGCGTGTTCGTCATAAATAAAAAATAGAATTCCTGCGTCTCCTTCGCCCTGAAATTTTTATCAACGCATCTCGTGATCCCACAACATTTGGCGATAAACGCGGTTTTCGTTTCCTTAGCTCGCAGAATTAATATCGACACGACTTTGAGTAATTATTTATTGGGTTTTATCATTTTAAATAATTCCTTCGGTGTCGGGCTACATATTGAGATTCCTCCCTCGCTTTTCAAGAATTATTCTCTTACGGAATTCCGGGTCGTTTCGTTCCCCTCGATTCAGGGATTGAGCCACTTCGAGTCGGGCACTGATAATATCGCCGGAAAATCGATCCCACGACGCGCCGTTTCTTATGCCCTAACTCACGAATACACCGATTCACCCTCTCGCTCCGACTCGTCTTCGTCCCCGTTTCGCCATAAGGATAACCGAAAATAAAAAGTTTCACGCGCCCCCGCCATATTTTCATAAGGGGAGTGAGATAAGAAATATATTTCGCGGGCCTTCTACGCGGATGCGTCATCGTTATTGCCCGCCAAGGCACTAACGATATTATACTTCCGGGGCTAATACTCTATAGGACCCCGTAGAATTGTTACGGATTTTTTACGAGCCTATCCCAGAGAACGCCTAAAATAATCCTCATTTTTCAAATAATTCATTATTTATTTCTTAACCCCAGGACTTCGTTATCAAAAGTACCGTCAATTGCGATCTCGTTACAGGATACTCGTGATAAGTTAAGAATCTGTGGCAATTGGAATTTTTTTTAATTATCACTCCCACTTGTGATTTTTTTAAACAGAGAAGCTCGAATCGGATACTCCCGGTGGTTTTACTGGAGTAAACCGCGTTTATACCGGAACGAACTTTGGCCGTTTAACACTGCCAATGTTGCTATAACAGTGGGAACTGCTAGGGAAACTAACGTTAACAATTGCCCATGGTACCTCGATAAATTTAACCGCATCGTCGTCGCTGCTTTGTGACGGGGAAATAAATGCGGAAAAGTTGGGCAATCTTATCGATTTCGGCTTTTCGGGGGAATGAGCATTATTTCTTTCCCATTTCCAGTCTATACGTGGTCGATGCTCGGAAGGTTGTCTCATATTTTCCTATTTAAATACATCCGCCCGAATGCCCTGGCCTAGATGTTCCACCGCGTTAAAAGAAATCCGGGGTGGAAAGAAACCTTAACAAAAACACATGGAGCAATATAGACACTTTGGAAATGACCAGCGATTATAAATAATATTTAATAACCACTGCTCGGTGATAAAAATAACATTTGGGGAGTTTTTACGCTTTTCTCGAGAGGAAGGAAGCAATTAAAGAACCATCTGTCGGACAGCCACCATTCATCGCGCCCTCGTGATCCCCATGAAATTCACCCTCCTTCGATCAAATCTCAATTTCCACTTTACTCACTCGTCGGACTCGTTTTTCTCTCTCTCTCCTCCACCAAGAGCTCGGAAAACCATTGAAATTTTCCGGGAGAATGTCCGCACAATTCGGGCACCCTTGCCCCTAAGTGGTGCATTTTTCAAGGGGTGGTACCGAACACTCCTCTCTCCCTGATTCCTTTCCCTGGAAAAGAAAGCGAGGAAACTACCCGCGGGGTAAGGAAACCTCATTAAGTCGGGTCTTTTTGGAGTCTTTTTCCTGTCAACCAACAATCCTCGCGGCCCTTTGTTTATCCTTTATCGCCGCCTCCCAGCTCGCCTCCCTTATTCGCTCATTATGCACCACCACATCCCTCCAGTTTTTTTTGTCACCAATGAGATCTCGGGGTTGGATCTTCCCAGATTGTATCCGAGAATGGTAATTCCCCTGAATATACACCCTGGACAATGACGGATTTAATAATACATTGTTCTGAATTTTTTCGGAACAAATGAAAAGGGCCTTAATTAAGTGGGATTTTAAGACGGGACTTTTTCTAAGGTCCCGTGGAAATGATGTGGAAACGTGTTTGCAGCGTGAAAATTGAGGCGAGGTCGTTTGGATTTTCCGGAAGACAATAAAAGAAAGGGGGAAGAGGGGGCAAGGGATTTTCTGCAAATTTGTCGTGCCCTTTAATCAACCCCCGCGATGGACGGATACTGTGCAAACTTCGAAGGCGGTACATATCGACTGTCCAGGAAGATAGGTGCAAAGTACCTCATTGTGGCATGCCGAGGGGAAACGTAATTTGGGAGGTTTTGCGAGGGTGGCCGGAACAGCAGGGATCTCGACGCTGCAGGATGCGAAGGAGCTACATAACGAATATCCTGGAGTGTATCCAAGAAAAGGGACCGCGCCAACACAGATCGATAAAGGGTCCTGGGTACAACCATTTGAAAAGGAGTATGCAAATATTAATTATCCCGAGAAATTACAGGACGAAAAGGAGGACATTAAAATTCATATATCAAAAGGGTTACATTTTTTTTTCCAGCCCCGATGATAGGCGGAAGACGTTCCGAAGCGTTCACTAGAATCATGGGAATTTATTCCCTGTCAGGGAATTTATGCAATTTGCCTTTCTGCATGTTTAGAGGTAAAAGCATCTTGGAATTTAGTGGAGCGTGATTTACTTATAGAAAGTGGCCGATCGCGTGTCGCCCCAGAAATATGGACAAAAGGATGACTTTCGCTGCTTTGGGCCATCCATCCTGCTTATCTATCAAGATCTGCTCGATAGAAGAATAGCCCATCTCCTCCGCAGGTTTCCCCAGGAGTTATTCCAGATAAGTCGTATATCGAGCCTGGAGAAACTCTGCTCGATGTAAGAAATGAAGATCATCATCGCGGATCTGCGAAGGGGACGTAACCTGGGTCGTGGAGGTGTCATTGCACGTTACACGTTCAGGTGCAATGGGGCACTAAGTCAATACCATCCAACTGGATGTAGTGTCATATGGTTCCGAGGGAATCTCATGTACCGAGGGTCTCGGCGGGTTAGAAAATCATGATCCTTCCCGAAGTCCCATTAAATCCTCCGGAGAGACCCCCGACACCTCTGATGAGCTACACCATCTCCCGATTAAAAAAATAAAAAAAATGTACTTACGTCGAAAAAAATATCTCGAGCAATATTTCATTGAGGCGGAATTCCCGGATGAAAAAATTCTGAAAATTTCTTGAAATCGCATCCGTTCCCTTTAAACCACCTTTTGGGAGCAATGAGAGTATGCGAGCGTCATACTTGCATTGCGAAAGACGTCGTGCGTCAGAATGCTCAGATTTCCAGGACACCTGATACGCGATCTAGGTGTTACTTTACCACTGCCAGCTGTCGAGATGATCCTCACCTTCGCGGGGGACTTTCCAAAAAAGTGGGGAATTTCAAAATACGTTTCCAACCTCGCTTCCGGAATGGACCGCGCGGACTTCCGTCGCCATTGGCACGTATACGTTCGCTCTCATACATATTTATGCCCGAGGAACCCTCCCTGTA